CCCCAAAACCCCAAAACCCCAAAACCCCAAAACCCCAAAAGTCCATTCTGAGGTTGAAAATAACATATTAATTCGTATACTAATCCCAGAATAGGTCTTCTTTTAACTACAGGCTTCTTCCCTTTCCTAATCCCCTAGCCTAGGCGAGGCACTGTAGCTAGAGGAAGCCAAATTTATAGCAAATTTAAGTGGAAATTTAGAAATTATTGCCTCCTTGAGAGCCAATTATTGATCTCTAGCTTATAAGGATTAGCCTGTATGCTGGACCTTTGCTCTTTGTCAAGACTGCTGTCCTTTTCTGTACCTATACAAGTTAGCCACCAGAATCTGGGTAAGGGACTTACCCCTATGAGTGGAGCTATAGTGGCCGGTGCCTCTTTGGACAGAGCTCCTTTGAGCTCGTCTCAAAGAAGCAGATTTGTTCCCATTTCTGGAAGTCTTTGAACGGTTAGCGTAAAAAGATCTGGCTGTGGGCGCATTTTTAACAGAAGGTTTATTCCTACAGATATTAGTCTTGTGTTCAGATTTTGGGTAGCTTACTGAGAAGTCTGAGATTTACTGTAGTCTCTAGTAGTCTTGGTGTTAATCCTAGATACTCTTTTGTAGTTAAAAATAGGAGTTTTGGTAGACCCCTTTCTCTACAGATAAGCATCAGGTCTTACTTCTTTCAAGGCAGGATATATAGGTGACATTGATTCTTGTAGAGAGACTCTTTTCTGGTCACAGCTGGTCATGATCATATCCCGAGGAGCATTCGGGTCCTTCTCGAGGTAATTCCGAGACACTCCAACTGATGTATACACCGTTCGTCGAGTCTGGCTTCGTGATGAAAACTTCTCATTGCGGAAGAAAGTCTCTGGAAGAACATTGCTCGAGTTATCAGCCATTAAATTTTTGTATTTCTCGAAGAAAGAAACTTTTGAGCATTTTGATACATATTTAGGGCTGTCTGGGTCATCATCCTTGCTCATGATCTTGAGCCAGAAGTGATCTTTATCATCAGTCTCAGGCTAAACAGGTTAGTTTGGGCTGGATAGTACCTTCTTGGGTTGAAACAGATCCTTCCTGGCTGTAAGCCGGTGATAAATTTTTGTGCCCTTGATCTCGCTTAGGTATCTATCAAACATCTTGACTATAGTGTTCTTGCGGTTGAGGTGTTTTCTGATCTTGTCTGGGTCTATTTTCTCCTTGAGTTTTATGACCAAGTCGTTCCTAATCTAAAGGTCAGAGGGGTCATGTACATCAGGCTGCTTTGGCTTCGTGCGGAGATTGACGACATTGTAGAAATTTGATCGACGCACTTTGGTTGGACTTGAATTTTGCTGAGTTTTGGACTGAGTTTTGGACCGAATTTTAGTACGCTCTTTAGCTTCCTTTGGCTCTCATAATTCTAGAGATTATTAAGTTTTTTTCAAGATTTGTGACATTGCAATTATCCGAAATGTGTAATGTTAAGGTATGAATTAAAATTTTGGAGAGTTTGAAAAATAGTCAAGATACTTTTAGAATTGAAAAGTTAGCTATAATTTAAGAAATCTTAGTTTTTATCGATCAAATAGACATATAACATCAACTTTACCCAAAATCTTTAAAAATTAGCTCAAAACCATTCCTTCCCCTTCATCCCCAAACTGCCTTAAAAATGCAAATTTCCATCCTTGCTCATCTCCTCCTCCAAATTTCCTTCCACTCCTCATTCGTACCATAAATCCTTGAGTCAAGTATTTTCTGTCCAATAACCTCGTTCTGCTCTATACAATTTCTTCCTGGAACTTACCTTTGAAATTCCTACTGCCAAGCACAACAGATATATTATTCTTCCTCTTCTTCATGAACATACCTTCCGGTTCCTCTATAAGCAAGGGTTAAATCTGATCATGGCCGGCCAAGTAGAAGGGCCAAGAGAGGGACTAACATTTTTTGAAATATAAAATTTAGTTGGAAATTTTCAATTATGTAGGGACTTGAGGGGTTTTGGGGTTTTGGGGTTTTGGGGTTTTGGGGTTTTGGGGTTTTGGGG